AAACTATCAAAAATATAAATCTCATGACTTAATCGGTCGAACAAAATAAAGAACTAGATTTTTACTTCTAGGAAAATTTAAACATGAATAGCGCCAAAAATCTAGATGGCATTACCATCAAACTTTAAATAATAGGTACGTCTAATAGGATTTACAATGAAGTTATTCTATACTGTTGGGATTTATTTCCAAATTTGTGTATTGATTGTAATCAGATTTGATTGGCATTATTTTGAGAATGCTTGGCTGGTTGATTGTGTTTGAAAATAGATGTGCAGCTGGCTAGCTTTGTATGGAAGGTTACTAAAAGATCCGGAAACTTATTTTAGTTTCTATTTTTATAAGTCAACTATTGATTCAAAGAAGGAAATTGATTTGATTGATTCTTGATTGAGATTTCATAGCTGGATGATCTTCCTATGTCGCCTAAGAACGTGTCCAGGTTCGTTTATCAGTTTTGGGAAGATTTCAGAATGAAAGGAGATTGATTTGTCTGGTTTTGAGAAAGTTGAACGTAACAGCTATGTTGCAGTTTTGTTGCAACAAGGATCTGCAACAGATTTGGTTTAGCGAATTAATTGAAGATGTGTCAAACTATTCACAGCTTGCTTATTTATTGAAAGTGTCCCTTAAGTCTGTGTACGCCTCTTGATGAGTTTTTGCTGGGTTGTGAGACATGGGTGAGCACTTGTATTGAGAGAGATGATTTGAGTGTTTTTCGGGAGAAAAACTTAGTTGGAGGGATTCCAATGTTAAAAGTCGAGGGGATCTCGCTGTTCAAGTCCATTGAGAAATTGCAAGTTCATAGGCGTATTCTTAGAGAGGGAGTCTTGGGTAGATTAAGTCCAATTGAATTGTAAAAGAGTTCTTAGTGGATTGTTCATCATCTGGGTGTGACCCCACGGAGTAGGGTGTTACCGAACCGCGATACTATTTCTCTCATGTTTTTTTATTTTATGTTTCTGTATTATTCATATTATCTTATAAAGTGTACGGAGTAGGGTGTTACCGAACCGCGATACTATTTCTCTCGTGTTTTTTTATTTTATGTTTCTGTATTATTCATATTATCTTATAAAGTGTTAAAAGACTAAAACCGGTACTAACATATACCGTTCACTTGAATAAAATAAAATAAAATCTACATTGTCAAGTTAATCTATATATATTTTCTCTGACCAATTATTTTTTCCCCCTTATGAACTTTCTATCATCTACTTAATATAGACCACAAAAATACCGTTGTTAAAAATAAAAAAAAAAATAAAAAATAAAAAAAAAACTTGCTAGGTACATGATTTGATGGTACAAATTAGTGAGACATATAGGATGGAGACAAAGCAACATTAATATTATTGATATATTATTGTGGATATCTTTTGTTTAAAATCTAAGCTTTCGACCAATTTCTTCCTTATACTTTGTCGTTTGGGTTAGCGATGGATTACGAATATGCTTTTGTTTATTATTCCTAATCATCCTACTTCGGTGATCTACAAAGTTTTATTTATAATTAATTGGTTTGTCCTACGTACTGTCAAAGTCAATGCCTATCTATTCGCACTAGAAAGCTTGCCGATGAAGGCATGGATATGATCCTATCTTAATATATTGCCCCCCCTTAATCTAACTTTTCATGACCTAACATGTGGACATTAATCACTTTTCCTAATTATATGTTTATATTTATGTCTTCGGCGAACTATTTTCTTGAAAGGAAAAGAAAATTACCGCTAACCTAAAGATAAAAGGTTCATACACATTACACCATAACGGTTACATGTCTTATCAGAAATCAGAATTTTTATATCTTTAATCTTCAATTATGACTCACAAAAAGGTGCATTGAACTTATAGATTCGTCGGTGGATCAACCGTACGCAAAAAGATACCATGATTTCCGCCATCAAGAATTTTCCCAAAGATGCTCTTAAAATTTAGATAAGATTGGGAAATCTAGCTAATTTTGCATTTCACACCTTAGGAATTGGATCCTGTCTTCAACTAAATATAAAGAGACTTCCATAAATTTTAAGTAAATTAAAATAGAAAAAAAAAGTTTGAACGCATTACCCAATTTGCATTTTCTCAGTTATTCGCTATGATTTATTGTTCAAATCCTCAACATCAACCTTTATAGAGATACTTATGAAGTCTCCAAGCGAATAGTATACAGATAATCGACATTATATCACATTATTTCAGAAAGAGATGGGAATTATATAGTCTAGGGTTCTTAGATCAAATTAACAGAACTTGATGAATTAGAAATATATTGGACAAAGATCTTGAGAAGAAAACGTCTTATAAATTTAAGGGTCAAAAAGTGGAAGGAATTTAAATTAAAAAAGATACCATTTCCTCAAAGGTTGTTCATTTGCAATAATATATATATATATATATATATTGCTTGAATTTGTTACATTGTTTTTTTTTTTGGAATTTCTCTAATATTCCTTATTTTTTTACGGATCTGTATTATTTTTTTAATCTAATTTGACTTTTGACTAGATTTAATACAAATCTGACGGTTGATAAGCGAAAAAAACTAAGAGGGAATACGAGAGAAAGTTCTTTTTTTTTTCTTAATTAGATATTCTTTAAGACTTAAGTTTGTCAGAATTTTTTTTTAATTCTATCAATGTTTACATACATACATAAATATATAAATATATATATATATAGATATCACTTCAGTAAAAAAAAAAAAAAATGATATTCTAGTACCATTACCAATCCTTTACGAGATTTCAATTTCAACGGTGCCTCTTCATCAACGTAACCATATACATGCTATTATATGATTCACTATGTGTGGGCCCCGTTTTTATTATCCTGTATTTGTGTATGTGTGTGCGTTCGTGTTCATATTGTACATATTCATCTACGTACCGACTTTATTTGAGATTCTGAGAATATAAAATGCAATATCTCAAGCTCATCATAATAGGAGCATTGGGAAGATGCCAAATGCCCAGGAAAAAAATGCTCTACCTCTATTTTCAGTTCATATGTATAAAGCAAGATATACAGAATTCATGAGTGACAATTTGCGCACAATTTGGTGGACTTTTTGTGGATTGACATGGACTTCAGGTCAGTCGGCAGGAACTTAAAATTACAGGGACTAAAACCACCCGGAATATTTTATTTTATCTCCTTAAATTGATAGCCAGCTTCATTAATTTGACAAGAAAGCTAACAAATGATAATTATGATCGTAAAGAGGAATACAGTGGTCCAAACATTTTTTTCTTTTTTTAATTTTCAAGGAACACCAAGCCCCCACTCAATTTATAAAAATAACAAAAAGTACAGATCAAATATATGCTAAAAATAAAAGGAAACCAAGAATTAACTAATTGAAACTTTTAAGTTAATACATTTTTTTTTTTTTTGAAGTAGATGAAGAGAGGGAGAATGATATAACACGTTCCAATGAGGTCGGCACTGTACTAAGCAATAATAACATTTGTTAATTTCCTCAGCTCAAGGAAATAAGAAATTTTCTTTTTCACTATATATATATATATAAATATAAATAGCTAGTATTATGTAAATGACGTTTCAAGCATGAACTGATAAGTTTCTTTTTTTTAAGGGTAGAAGTTTCTAGTAATTGTGATTTCTTCTGTCGGCAATTCAGCAGTATTGATTACATGATACGTACTTAAGCCTCGTGATAATTGTATTGCTAATGTCAGTTAACTGTAATCATATTTCTCTATCAAAACGGCTTAATATATATATATATATATATATAAAGACGCAGGGAAAGCTCATGCAAAAAGTATATCATCATAAAAATTAAAAATGTTTTTCCTTGGTTGAATTAAAGTTGATTGCAATGTGTCAATACGAACTAATTTTAAGAATCTAGAATAATAATTAATCTCGCATCTACACCTCTATCTGATTTTGTTAGTGCTCTAACCTTCTTTTCCTTTCACAAAATTAATCGTAATGTCGTACTTGATAAATAGCATTTTTATTTTGTTTCTTTCTCTAAATTCACTACTGTAATCAAGTGTTTGTGTATCTTTTACAACTTCTTAATTTGTATCGCGTGCATGCTGATGTATGACTTGGTTCCTTGATCTTCTCTATTGTTTCGTGACGCTCATGATCCAAAAGTATATTGACAATATAATGTAGTCAATAGTCATAACAATAAAGCATGCATGTATCATGCTGGGATAGCAGAACTGAAAGCATATTCAGATCAATTTTAATATTTGTCTACTCAGACCCGAATTATATTGGCTTTTATATGCCGCATTCATGCTAGAAATAAAACCCAATACATTCAAATCTACGGCTCCACTTATTTGATTACAAATATATATGTATGTACAATTTATATACATTACCAAACAAAAGAAACAATTACCTAGAAAAAAAAATTGTTTATTCAAATTTTCATGTTTTTACCTAATTAAAACCATATACAACCAAGTATGCTGAATTTCGCACCAAAATAGTATTGAATTGCAAAGTGAATTTGTAGTTAAATGCAAAATTTACACCCAAGCGCCTATGAGATTTTAGAATGTTATCATATATTTTATTTTTAATAAAGTTTTTGCTTCTAGAGAAAAAAAAAAGAATGCTGTCATATATGCATATATATATATATATAGATAATTTCTAAGGTTCTGTTCATTTCACCGATTCGAGTTTTGCTACAGTAAAAAGTTCTAAAAAACAGTCACATCTAACTTTTTACTACAGTAAAAAGCTCTCACATGAAGTCACATCTTAACTCGAATTAAAAACTCAAATTAACGAAATAAACGGACTCTAAATTAAAGATTAATAATAAGATATCATTAGAAAGTTGGAAGAGAAGGTAAAGCATGCCTAATCATCATTTGCCCTTTCCATGTTAGGCGTGCTAATTGTGCACACCAACATTCCATGTGGTTCCACGTCTGCATGCCATCCCGTTTCCAAAGATTTTTAATATTTAACACAAATTTGGATACCGGCAAGGCAAGGACGGAGGCACTCATTTTGCGTTGTTTGGTCAACCTATGAGGACAAAGCGACATGGGAATTTAATAATTATTAATCCAACCAACGCCAGATTCGTTTTCGTTAATATCGTTTTTAGCCCCCACATCCCACCATTTTAACTCTCTCCTCCAATACTCACACACATATTATTATATAATATATGTATATGTACATATTGCTTTCAAAAGTGCGTGCTGCAATATATAACACCTCGCTAGCGCTATAGCTTTTCAGACAAATAATGGGTTCCGATCATGGCGTTTGCAACACTGGCCTTGGGCTTGGCCTAGACTCCTTCCACCACAAAGCAGATCATGATCATGAAGATAAAGCGGCGTCGCTCATGAATAAGTCGTCAGGTCTTCAATATCACGAGAGCAAGAAGAAATTGTGTCTGAGATATGACCACCTATTGCCGTCTGATCTAACGCTTGCCCCATCAGATGAAGGATATCATCTTCAACCGGCTGATCAAAATACATCTAATTCGGAGCTGATCAATATCCGGCGGGCCTCATCGGATTTGACGTCGTTTTCGAATTCCTCCACTACTGTGAAGAGGGATAGAGATATTATTAGCGGTGAAGAAGTAGAGATAGAGAGAGTAGTGTGTTCGAGAGTAAGTACTACTAATGATCAGGAAGATGAATTAGAAGGTAGTCCCAGGAAGAAACTCAGGCTTACTAAACAACAATCTGCCCTTCTTGAAGATAGCTTCAAAGAGCATACCACTCTCAATCCGGTATATATATACACACACATAATATTAGTATATCATCGGGAACCAATTATATATATCGAAATTACTTATATATACCTGTAAGCTAATGTTTATGAATTTGTGACTTTTTTGGGGGGTTAACTAATTTCAACTTGTGTTATGTTATGTTTTTAATTTATATTATATATATATATATATCAAAATTTCTTATATATGTTAAATAAGGTGCTTTTTTTGGGGTTAATAGAATTTTTTATTTTAAATTTTTGAATCATATTAATTACAGAAGCAAAAGCAAGACCTGGCAAAACAACTGAATCTACGGCCACGACAAGTAGAAGTTTGGTTCCAAAACAGGCGGGCCAGGTATGTAATTGATACGACTTATTAAGTTTTTTTTAATAGAAAGTGTTTTTTTAATATATATATATACATCAAATTAATTGTAATTATTTAATCACATATCCCTAGATTTAATTAACGTATACACAGGACTAAGCTGAAGCAGACTGAAGCTGAATACGAGCAATTGAAGAAGTGTTGCGAGACACTGACGGAGGAGAACAAAAGGCTACAGAAGGAGCTGCAAGAGCTTAAATCACTGAAGCTGGCAGCGCCATTTTTTATGCAGTTTCCGACGTCGACAACGCTCACTATTTGCCCATCTTGTGAGCGGATTTGCGGAGGCGACGGCGGCGCCTCTTCCGCGAGCTCTTTGCTGATTGGACCAAAGTCTCACTTCTCCAATCCCTTCACTACTCATCCCTCTGCAGCTTGCTAGGCATATCCAAGAAGATCAGACAGCGCTGTACGTTCATATGTATGATTATGATTAATTAGCTCCGACGTCATAGATATATTAATTAAGGGAGTTTCTTTTTTTTTTTGAAAACTTAAAGGTTAGTTTTGTAACTACTTGTAGGAATCTACACTTAATTATTACATATTTGTAAATATCAATCTAGTTAAGTGATCAATATTTATGAGCAATATTATTTCCTATATACATACATCATGAGTACTTTCCATAGCTAAATACGTGATTCTCCATGTTAACCCTTGAGAGCACTTTTGGATGGCGGTTTGACATAGAATTACTATTATGCCCTGCTCAATACACAGATACATAACACACATAAACTTCCGGGAAAGTTGGGGCTTCCTCCGAGGGTGGGGCATCGACATATCTTCTCAAGAATGGAGGGTTTTAGACTTTAGTCTTCTTAATGAATTCATTGCACTTTTTTTTTCTCCCCTATTATGGGTTGAATTTGATTAAATGCGTGCAGTTGCAGAGTAGAAATTAGTAGTGAATATGTGCAGATTTAGCTTTCCTTCATCATTAAAAGTAATAAAGCGCCATATTAGAGAGAGAGAGAGAAGAACGAAATACTTACGAAGCGCCCTTAATTTCATTAGACTCTGAACTTTCGGTGCATTGGCCTAAGGTAGGATTGAGACATACACGTGGCAATTTTAGTCTCTATAATGTATTAAGATTTTAATTTCTGTCGGACGTTAAATAAGTATAATTTATACGGCGTCATCAAATTATAATTATACTATATATTGTCCTCACTAAAAAAAAAAAGTAGTAACTCCACTACATTAAATAATTCGTGTACGTGTATATGATGTATCAACAACTAGTATATGTACTTTGGCGAATTTCTAAACGTAAATTTCTCATGCTCTCTTAATTAAATATTTCCATTCAAGTTTTTATAACGACATAAAAGTATTTATTTGAATTTGAAAATAAAATTTATTTAAATTTTGAAAACTGATATGACGGAATCAATACATATTTCTTTTCTTTCTAAAAGGCGCACAGTAGTCACCATCCCAGATCATAGAATTAGTTGAGGCTCTACACGTGCATCAATTGATAATCTAGTTAATCTTAGCTTATAATAAAAGAAAGGAACATTTAGCAAAAAATAAAAGAAAGGAATATAACTAGATCTGTCCTTTCAGGGACGCGTTGGGTCATGGCTCCAATTATATGATTGCCGGGTCGAACAGTCTCTTTCTACAAATTAGTTCTATTTAATAAAGTAGGCCCATTTCCCTCGTCTATCGTCCATGCAAAACATTTAATTATTTCGCATCCAACGATCATCTCATGAATTTTCTGTGTTCAGTTTCTATGCGTAGGTATAAAAAAACGATCAACTCAACGTATTAGGACATTGTTCAGTTCGTTGATTCGAGTTTTTAATTCAAATTGAGATGTGACTTTATGTGAGAATTTTTAACTGTAACAAAAAAATTTGATGTGATTTTTTGTGAGAGCTTTTAACTGTAATAAAACTCGAATTAAAAACTCGAATCAGTAAAATAAACGGGGCTTAAATCTTTAATTATATATATTGTTGGGTGCCTGTTTGACTATGCCACCGAGCATTGTTCGAGAGCATGCTGCTGAGAAGACACCGCCGATACTCCGTCATCGACGATGTCGCCGAACATGACAATTCTGCCGTCCCCGATGCTCGACAACCTCTGCACCCGGATATCTTGCGCCAAATATCATCTTGCAACCAATCTCTTTGCCAAGCACTTCCAATGTTAGGGGTCCATATTGTGCTCCCTATTATCCGTACAAGGGCAATCCTCACCATTAGATTGGTCAAGTACGGCTAACAAATTCCCCTACATCTGACAAGCCTATACAACTGTACCGATGAACCTCCAGCGGCTGGGGGGGGAAAACCCGGATCGGGAGGTAAAACCCGGATTCGGTAAGAAACTATAAATACCCCCCAAAGCTCATTTATGAGGTACGGATACTTCTCCACACCTACTCATTGTCTCTTCACTTATTGCTCTCAAGCACAACACTGATTTGAGCATCGGAGGGTCTCTGTCCGGCACCACACTGGTGCCCCAACTGATCCCGAGCCTCACTTGTCTCCCATGCAAAATAATCAAGTCGACACCTCGGGAAGCGAAGCAACCGTCCAGAAGACCCGACTAAACAAGATCGGGTCGGATAAGAATTAGGATAACCTGACCAGCGCAACCGCATGTGGGTGTTGAGTCAGCAAAGACATCAACATATATCATACTTGATATCATGTGTTTCTTATGAAAATAACAAAATAACAAACTTGGTTGAGAATAATTATAATATATTCCAATATATTTTTAAATTTGTGTTACGGAATGGTAATTTGTGCCACCCTTTCTTATAAGACTAAGCTTATTTCTCTGGAGGGTAGTGTATGTATATTAGTTTTTAGGGAAAAAAGATAAATATCTTTTAAAGTGTATGAGTCTGAATTTTTATCTCTTAATATTAATTAATATGTTTTTTAGTCAAATAATTATATTAATCAAAAGGATATTAATTAAGAATAGAAGTAAAAATCCAGATCCATACACTTTGAGGGTAAGTTCAAACAATTTTTTTTTTTAATGCAACATCTTATCTGATCTCCAGCTTTCTCCAGTGAAATAAACAAGAAAAAGGATCAGCTATACTTTCCAACTCTTGCTTGTTTGGTTTAATTAGTTTATCTGTTACTATTTAACTTAAAACTATATATGTGAATCAGATCCCACTCGCACAGAGATCTAGAAAATTAATCGGAATAATTTCCAGTCTAGCTTAAAAATATGTTTGGCTTTTTTGGTAGATCGGAAATTACAAGCTTGTGTGATCTGGATTATGAAATGTAAATAGTTGTTTCATACGGAAAGAAAAGGATAAATTTAAAATGAAGACTAGACAAAATATATAAAGCAATATAACACGCGTGTTCTGTGTTCATGGTACAAATTTATTGTTTTTTTTTTTAATAGAGGTCTGATTCTGATATAATTGTACTTATTATTTTTCTTTTCCTAATGGATACATCAAATGCGGTGAAAAATATGCAATAAGAATATTAATTTTGTTTAGCTTTGTCTCTTGATCAACACCCGTCATCTCATGTCAATTTGCAATATAATTCTATGATAATGCTATATAATTAACATCTCTTTTTGCGCTATTCCAATAATTGGATGGAGACCTAGTTGGAGCTTTAAGTTTGCGTGGTTGATGACGATGTGAATTAGGTAGGCTTTTCGCCCAATCGGCATGAAACTAAACTCTGTTTTTGAAAAAATATAATAGTATGTGTGTGTATATACACACACACACTCAAGTATAAACTATCACCGCCATGACAATTCCAGTGTTCGTTAAGTCATTGCATGACTCATGTACTCATGAATAAAAATAAGGATTACGTGCTACTTGTAAGTTCATAATAATAAACTAGACAATATTTTATCTGCAATAATAATAATCTTGTTCTTCTAATTCTCAGCAAATATTCAGTTCCAAATATTTGTAAACATCCTATGTGTACTTTTTTAGATTGGTTTTTGCATGTCAGTTTCGTAATATATCATCTCAAGTGCAAACGCTTAGCCAAATAAAGAGAAAATTATGAAAGGAGAAAAAAAAAAAGAATTAAGGCGTATTATTTTTTTTTCTTTATCTAAAAAAATTGATTAGTATTCGTATAGGATGAGGAGGTTTCGTACCAATTTTGTTAAGATGTCATTTTCCTTCCTTGATGTTGGTCACTTATCTGATTCATGCAAAAAGAGGAGAGAAAAAAAAAAAAACATGAATTAGTCATGTGTTGGGTCAGATAAAAAGGTACTGCGAAAATGATGTTTGCTCCTATCTAAGCGGAACCACATAAAAGATACAAACACAACATACATGTATACATACACATACATATATATATATATATATATATATATAATATGTGTATATTTGTCTGTGGTGTCAGTGTGTGATCTTCTTGTGAGAAGTCTATCATGCATGCATCACTTCACAGAAATAAGATAGCTACTAATGGAGAATGACTCAAAATTATAGTTAACACCCGTTCCAAGTGCTCAAGGCTACGTTACAAGCTACTTGAAGACTATTTAATATGTACCTTATTTATATATAGACACACACACACACACACACATATATATATATATGGATTTATCTATGCACATGATATATATTTTATATAGCTATGTGTCTAATATAGATATGCATACACACAAAAGGAACATTAACCACGAAGTTTTATATTTCAAAATTCTTTTCAGATGACTTTTGACGTATTATTTTGCCAGTCGACTTTGAGATATTATTTTAAAACCACTTGCGACATCTTATTTCTTTGCAAAAGTCGTCGTGATAAACATACAGGCTTTTTCTTATTTTAAAAATATTAACCTACTTTCACCCAAAAAGAAAAAAAAAATCCAACCTACCCTCAAGATATATATTATTTATCCTGTAAGTGCGTATCTAAATATGTTAATATTGCTGACCTCGGCCCGGTATGTTAATTTGTTTAGCCCACCAAACCGCAGGTAACCTTTGCTACGCTTTTTCCTTCTCCATGCCACTACCATATTGCATTCGCTCCATTAATTTTTCCAACCGAGTCATTGAAATGAGATGAAGAAAAGAATTTAATTATTAAAAAAAAAAGATGTTTTTTCTATCATTTACTACTTTGTTCTCTTCAATAATATGTTCGTCTATACACAATTAATTTGCAGAAAGTCTTAATAGAAAATGAGATGATAAGAAATGCAAGATTTGTATGAATGTACTCAATTGTTTGTTAAAATGACCGGTTTCATCTTTTGTAATTATGAGCTGGTTTCGTGATTTTACAAGGACAATATAATTAGTAAAACCCCAGAAGTTTAACTATAATAGGGAAAAAAAATGCTTTAGTGTAAATTTGATATTATTAAGCTGCGCTGACATCAAACACATGTGTGATTGATAATGGTCACCTAATATAGGGGATAAACGATTTTTTAAAGGAAATATTAACTGTATAATTAACGATATTATCATAGATGTTTAAACGTGCCAATCTTGATGGGCTTGTATCAGCACGACACGATAAAAAGTGGGTATGGCATGGCACGACACAATTATTAAATGGATCTAACCTATCTCGTTTCTTAAATGGTCGGGCTTGACGCAATT